GGATATAGCAAATGATGACAAAATAAACATTTGAAACAAGATAAATGGGTCTATGCTTAATTTCATGAAGTGCGCGATTAATCACAGAAAAAGGATGTGATTAATCAGATTAAAATTTTTAATCGATTGACAGCCATATTTTATATATATATATTTACTTTTTTTTTTATTTTTTACTTTTTTTTTTAATACTCTGTCTAAAACAATACCATGAAACGTAAATCCATATGATGCCATTACAGGATTTGCATTTTTATTTTTATTTATTTTATTTTATTTTGTATTTCTTTGTTTTTTTTATTTTATTTTTTATACTTTATTGTTTTTGTTTTATTTTTAATTTAATTTAAAATTTATTTTTTCATTTTCTTTTTATATTTAATTTTTTATTTTTTATTAATGTTCGTGCACAATTATGGATGATACTCTTAAACAATACCATGAAACGTGAATCCATATGATGCCATTACAGCTAGAGCATCCACACACATGCAATCCAAACCAGATGTATAGCGATTTCAACATGCTTTCAATAAAATTCCCACTAAACTGTTCCGTACAAATGCAAATAACCGGCAGCGATGTTCTCCTGCTCGGCCCTTTATAGGCAATAGGTTGCCTAAGCAACACTGTCACCTCTCGTTCCATGGTAAGGGATGAGCGGAGAGACGTTCTGCCTTCTGGAAGTGTTTTCCTTCTCCTTTGGCTTTAAGCAGCCCATTAGCTCCTCAGCCAGTGGCCGTCGATGGCTAACTAGCAGCTGCGTGAGGAGGTGGGCGGTGATGAGAATGAGGCCGGGTCATTTCAGACGCTCTCGAGAAACCTCAACAACCCTCAGACACAAGAGTCGCTCCTTCAGCTGCCATCGCTGACTGACTGCGAGAAATACCATTGCTCTAAAAGAGAGATCATTGCATGGGAATGAGGGAGATTAGAGAGAAATTTGTAGGAAAAAAAACTTCAATCCAAAGCTTGTGCTCTTGAAAAATGGTTGTAAAAAGGGAAAAAGCTTGAATTAACCAATTAATAATGTCTGGCATGAGTTTGATCAGTGTTGTGAATGAAATCAGAGTAGTAACAATGACATTTTTTTAAAATGTAAATAGCATTATTAATTTAATGTAAATGATAATATAGTATAAATAAAAAATATTATATATTATTTTATTTTTTATACTTTATTGTTTTTGTTTTATTTTTAATTTAATTTAAAATTTATTTTTTCATTTTCTTTTTATATTTAATTTTTTATTTTTTATTAATGTTCGTGCACAATTATGGATGATACTCTTAAACAATACCATGAAACGTGAATCCATATGATGCCATTACAGCTAGAGCATCCACACACATGCAATCCAAACCAGATGTATAGCGATTTCAACATGCTTTCAATAAAATTCCCACTAAACTGTTCCGTACAAATGCAAATAACCGGCAGCGATGTTCTCCTGCTCGGCCCTTTATAGGCAATAGGTTGCCTAAGCAACACTGTCACCTCTCGTTCCATGGTAAGGGATGAGCGGAGAGACGTTCTGCCTTCTGGAAGTGTTTTCCTTCTCCTTTGGCTTTAAGCAGCCCATTAGCTCCTCAGCCAGTGGCCGTCGATGGCTAACTAGCAGCTGCGTGAGGAGGTGGGCGGTGATGAGAATGAGGCCGGGTCATTTCAGACGCTCTCGAGAAACCTCAACAACCCTCAGACACAAGAGTCGCTCCTTCAGCTGCCATCGCTGACTGACTGCGAGAAATACCATTGCTCTAAAAGAGAGATCATTGCATGGGAATGAGGGAGATTAGAGAGAAATTTGTAGGAAAAAAAACTTCAATCCAAAGCTTGTGCTCTTGAAAAATGGTTGTAAAAAGGGAAAAAGCTTGAATTAACCAATTAATAATGTCTGGCATGAGTTTGATCAGTGTTGTGAATGAAATCAGAGTAGTAACAATGACATTTTTTTAAAATGTAAATAGCATTATTAATTTAATGTAAATGATAATATAGTATAAATAAAAAATATTATATATTATATTAATAATATTATATTAGTTAATATTTGTTATTATTATTATTAGGTAAAATGCACAAAACATTAAATGTTTTCAACACTGTAAGTTAATTTAGACATAACATTATATATGAAAATATGAAAGATGGATATTTATTTTTGAGATCTGCTAAATATTGCATTTAATTGTTAATTTCATCATTTAAGTATGCTTTTAACAGTTAATACATTACCAGTGTTATTGTGCTTGTTGGCAAATAATAGAAAATAAACAGAAATGAGCATGCAGAATTAAAAATCCAATATCAACTAATAAATTAAATTGAAATAAAAACATTAATTAATTGAGATTAAAAAAGGGTCTATTTTATATTTTTCATTTTTTTTGCTTCATTTAATTTTATTTCCATTTTTTTGTTTTATTTTATTGTTTGTTTGTATTATTATTTTTTTCTTTTCTTTTATTGTTGACACAGTTATGGTTGATACTCTGAAACAATAGCATGAAGCGTTAATCAATGTGATGCCATTAAATTTTATTTTATTTTGTGGTTTATTTTTAAATATGTTTTTGTTTTTAGTTTATTTTATATAAAATAAAATGTTATTTTTATTTAAATTAATTTAATTTATATATATATAATCTATTATTATTATTATACAGTTATATGCATGTTGCAATATTTGTTTTGGATTCCACATTTCAAGTAATCTGTCAAAGTGTGGCTTTTTCACACTTTCAAGAGTTTGCGTCTTTAACTTTACCTGCTTTCAGAGTTACGTTGCATTTTCTGTTAGGTCCAAATGATTGCTACCAGATTACCTTTTTGTACATTATTTTAATTCGTTTACATTTTTTTCCCCTGTTTCTCTCTGCAACAGACGTCCTTGATTTAATGGGTCCAATCATCGGGATGTCGCCGGATAAGAAAGCAGAATCCCCGGGCGTTCTGGGGGATCTGACGGGCTTGCGCGGGGTTTGTGGGACGTTGCCCGAAGCCGAGTGCGCTGCCAGCCCTCTGGCCACCAGCCTGGACCACAGCTCCAGCTCAGGAGACGAAGAGCTCACCAACCTCAACTGGCTCCACGAGAACCTGCTCCAGAACTTCACGCTGGGCGGCCCCGAGGCCCAGTCCAGCCCCAGCCCGCTCTTCGACATCGAGGGCAACCACAGCGCCTCCATCATCTCCTCGGCCGCGGCGCACGCCGGAGAGTCCGTCAAGTCCAAGCCACCGTTCTCCTTCTCCCTGCTCATATACATGGCCATCGAACAGTCGCCCAGCAAGTCACTGCCGGTGAAGGACATCTATGGATGGATCCTGGAGCACTTCCCGTACTTCTCCAGTGCCCCCACTGGCTGGAAGAACTCGGTACGCCACAACCTGTCCCTCAACAAGTGTTTCCGCAAGGTGGAGAGGGGCCTTGGGAAGGTGAGCAGTGCAAAGTTAGTCATATTATTGAGTCGTTTAACTAATACTTTTATGTCTTATCCTGAGGTTGAAGGTGTAGTTCCCTCAAAATAATATGGCTTTGTTTCTTTCACAGCAGGGATATTATCTTTAGCTAAAGCTAAAACCATTACTTCAAATACAGTCAACTTTAACTGAAATGAAATAGTAATAAAATATATGAAATAATATAAAATATGACCCTGGACCACAAAACCAGTCATACGGGTCAATTTTTGAAAATTGAGATTTATACATCATCTGAAAGCTGAATAAATAATCTTTCCATTGATGTATGGTTTGTTAGGATAGGACAATATTTGGCCGAGATACGACTATTTGAAAATCTGGAATCTGAGGGTGCAAAAAAAATCTAAATATTGAGAAAATCATCTTTAAAGTTGTTCAAATGAAGTTCTTAGCAATGCATATTACTAATCAAAAATTAAGTTTTAATATATTTACAGTAGGATATTTACAAAATATCTTCATGGAACATGATCTTAACTTAATATCCTAATGATTTTTGGCATAAAAGAATAATCAATAATTTTGACCCATACAATGTATTTTTGGCTATTGCTACAAATATACCCCAGCGACTTAAGACTGCTTTTGTGCTCCAGGGTCACATATATGTAACTTTATGTAAAAACTTTTCAACGTTTCTAGTTTTTTAGTTCAAATTGAAGTACTAAAACTGAAATAAAAATAATAATATATACATTAAAAACAACAAAAACTAATAAAAAACTTTATTTCAGTTAGTTGCAGTAGTAGTAAAAATGACTCAAATTAAAACTGAAATAAAAATTATATGTACATTAAAAAAGGCAATAAAAATGACAAAAATAAACAACTAAATTACTTAAACTTTAACTAAAATGAAAATGGAAAATCTAAAAATAAAAACTTGAAGTAAATTAATTATAAATGTTGCCATGTCATCTAACAGAAATAAGTTTAAGCTGAAGTACTAAAATTACTAAAAAAGAAAACCGAAATAAAAATTACATGCATTATAAGAACAAAAACTAATATATAAGACAAAAACATGACAAAATTACAAAAAACAAAACAAACAAACTAAAATTAAATTTAAAATATAAAACTAAAAACTTATTTTCGGTTAGATGCCAATGCAATGTTTTGGTTTATTTTATGTTGTAGTTAAAATGATTAAAACTAAAAAATGTACATTAAATAGACATAAAAAGGAAAAACTAATAAAAATACAAAAATACAGTTTAATTTTTTTTTACCAAAATTAAAAAAAAAAAAAAAAACATTTTTTTTTTCAATTAGATGCCATGACATCATTTCTAATTTCCATTTAGTTTAAGCTGAAGTACTAAAATTACTAAAAAGAAAACTGAAATAAAAATTACATGCATTATAAAAACAAAAAATAATATATAAGACAAAAACATGACAAAATTACAAAAAAACAAAAAAAACAACTAAAATTATATTTAAAATATAAAACTAAAAACTAATTTTCGGTTAGATGCCAATGCAATGTTTTGGTTTATTTTATGTTGTAGTTAAAATGACTAAAACTAAAAAATTTACATTAAATAGACATAAAAAGGAAAAACTAATAAAAATGACAAAAACACAGAGTTTAAAAAAATTAACCAAAATTAAAATGGAAAAAAAAAAAAATAATTCAATTAGATGCCATGACATCATTTCTAATTTCTATTTAGTTTAAGCTGAAGTACTAAAATTACTCGAACTGAAATAACATTTAATAAAAATGATAAAAACATAAAAAAATTAAAGCTAATAAAAATTGCAAAATGCACAAAATTACTAAAACTTTAACTAAAATGGAAAATATAAAACTAATCTCATTCAAAATATAATTAAAAACTATAACAGTACATTACTGATACTAAAATAACCCTGGTCTATAGTCTCAGGCGCAGTGGTTGTAGCGAGCGTAAATGTGAAGGTGGGGTTTTGGCGAGGATTTCTCTGCTCCACTGAGATAAAGAGGTGGGGATCCAGTCAAGGTCACGGCTCCTCCCTGAGAGCAAACACACTCCCATAGCAGCTTATCTCAGCACACACACACACTCATATACACATACACTGCTGGAGGACACAGTGAGCGAAGACAGGGGAAGCAGCGCAACAATTCTACTTCCTGGAAAGACAGCAGGCTCGTATAGAGGCAGATGCAGAGCAGTCAGTGTTACAGTGGCCTTAAAAAAACGATTTGGGAGGTGTAATATATCTGAATGTCATTCAATCTGATGAGTGTTTGTATCTGCATGTCTCAAATACTGCAGGATATCTTCTCTTCGCTGTCGTTTCTGCTCAGGGGCTTTTAATCAAATGCTTTTCTGTGATTTTTAGTTGATGTGTTTTTAGTGGAAGTTTTCAAAATGTTCAGTGCCAAGGACCCCAAAATATGATGGTTCCATTCCGAAAAAACCCTTTACTATAAGTAGTAATATATTTTAAGACACATTTATACTGTGAGGGGGGAAATACTGTGATATAAAAATATGTTGTATAAAAATTGGCATTTATTTGCTATTGTGCTAAATTTAAAAGCCATATTTAAAAAATTATCTAGAACATTTTATGAATTCATATAATTATTTAATTATTTAGTGCTTTTTCATCCTCATTACTGCAAAACAACAATAAATAAATAAACTTACCTTAATTTATTCAGATTTGAAACAAATTTTTTTTGCAGTATTTTGTGTTACAGAAACTTAAAAAATAATTACAGTAATGAGAAAATAATATAGACATTTTTGCTAATTAGATGAATAAGTTGTCATTGTGCTAAAGCTAAAACAAGATTAAAATGTTATCTAGAACATTTTATTTTGAATTCAAATTTATTATTTTTAGCGCCGTCTCATTCTCATTACTGCAAAAAAAAAAAAAAAAAAATTTACCCTAATTTTAATTACCTTTATTTAGATTTAAACTGAAAAAAAAATTGCTGGAATATTTTGTTTCACAGAAAATTTAAAATACATAACTATTACAGTAATGAGAAAATATTGTAGAATTGACAACTAATGAGTTGAATATGCTGTCATTGTGCTAAAGTTAAAAATATTAAAATATTATATAAAACATTTTAAGACAAATAGTTAATTATTTTAAGTGCCTTCTCATGATCATTAATGTAAAACAAAATATAAATAAATAAATTTACCTTAATTCTAATTGCCTTAATTTTAACTGGAAAAAATATTGTTGCAGTGTTTTGTTTCACAGAAAATTTAAAATACATAACTATTACAGTAATGAGAAAATATTGTAGAATTGACAACTAATGAGTTGAATATGCTGTCATTGTGCTAAAGTTAAAAATATTAAAATATTATATAAAACATTTTAAGACAAATAGTTAATTATTTTAAGTGCCTTCTCATGATCATTAATGTAAAACAAAATATAAATAAATAAATTTACCTTAATTCTAATTGCCTTAATTTTAACTGGAAAAAATATTGTTGCAGTGTTTTGTTTCACAGAAAATTTAAAATACATAACTATTACAGTAATGAGAAAATATTGTAGACATTTTTACTAATGAGATGAGTATGTTGTCAATGTGCAAAAGCTAAAAAATGGTTCTAGATATTATCTAGAATTTTTTTACGAATTCAAATAATTACAAAGCAAAAGTTTTATCAACACTAGATCTATTTATCATTTCAAATCAACAAACTTCTTTTTCTTAAACATTTTGTTCTTTATTTTATGACTCTTGCTATGATATTTAACCTCTAACATTTTTATATGTGACCGAAGCGTCCAAATTTTGGACCGGTTATGATTTAATCAGTCTTGCTAGTCTTTTATTTCATTTCTGGTCCACTTTTTATTTAGAGGAGCGTAAAGAAAGGCTCTGGAAATGTTGCGAGCTGGGTTTAAACTTGTGTCGCCCACATGAGCACCATGAGCATGTGCACTAACCATTAGGCCACAGATGATTATTTTTCCTTGTCTGACTGTACGGTCAGTGTCGTTTCCTGTTAGGAGCCGCAGCCGTGACGTTGAGATGTATTTACTAATGGCAGTGAAATGATCTTCTGTGGAGCTGTGAGAGGTCAGCGAGAGTCCATCCGTCAGACACACACACACACACAGAGCTGGTTTCACATGACACTGCCGGGTTTCGGTTGCCATGACAACGTTTCCTCCTTCCTGTTTGAGCAGGCTGGTAATCTGAGTCAAGGTTATAGGCCTCCTCCTCCTCCTACCTCTATTCCTCTGTTTCTCTCTATATATATTTATACATTTATATACATTATATTTTGCACAAAGAAAATTAGATGTTTTTCGTGAGCATTAAGATCTTTTGCATAGTCTTATGATTTTTGTGTCAATTAAGGCACCTCACTCCCAAATTCTCATTAGTGAGAATGTGTTTTCTCATTACTGTAATAGTTTAGTAATTTTCTGTAAAAAAACAAATACTGCAATGCAATGATTTAAGTTAAAATATAGAATAATATTCAATATTATTAATGTAATGCAAATACTACCAATGCATTTTATTTTATTTTTGTTTATTATTAGATAACATTATTAGTATGTAATATTATAAATTATATGTATATATATAAAAGTTATAAATATATTATTATTATTATACATTGTTTATTTATTATTTACACTTTTGTGGTAATAAGATTTAACAAGAACAAATATTATCACAATTTATTTTGTTATTATTATTTTTTAATTATTTTAATAAATATTATTATACATTATGTATTATGTACAAATTTTTGTGGTTTAGTAATTTTCTGTTAAACAAACACAGTAAAAAGCAATGCAATACAAATATGTTTCTAGTTAAAATCTGAATAAATTAATGTAATTCAACAAATGCATTTTATTTTTATGAAAATTATAAATTTTTATTATAATTATTTTATTATTATTATTATTATACATATTTATTATAATTAAATATATTATTATTATACATTATTTTATTTATTTATAATGTACATTTTTTGTGGTAATGAGATTTTTAGATTTTAGAATAATGACAATTCTGGAAGAGTGTATTCAATTGTTGTCATTAACTGCAAATACTTTTACAAAGCAAAAAAAAATCTTTAATAGTCCAAAAAGTAAGCTTTTTTATGTTAATTCAAAATATAGTTTATAATAATTTTTTTTCTTTTGATTTTGAGTAGGGCTGGACAATAATTCAATATCAATATGTATCGCGATATAATTTTTTTCAATAACGGTGATATGATTTTTAAACACATTTCCGATATTTCAATATACATTACCAGTTTCCCATACATTGAAACTTGCAGAGGTATAAATCCGATCTAAACCTGACCTGTCTTTGTGTATTGTTTTGCTGTTTGGCAAATAGAAGATCTTTACCAGCATCTTTTCTCATCTTTTCTCAAGCTTAACACCAATCTTGAACTGGGTTATTCTGCCTTTAACACTCTTGATTCCCAGCAAAATCCATCCATTGAGTGCAATAATAATGAACTAATACAGTAATTATGAGAACTCATGGATCAGATCCTGTCATACAGACTCTTTATGCCGTTTACATCCATGTTCTGATGTTTATCGGCTGCTTTTAACCACTGCTCGTAAACTCCCAGCAGGGCCTATATTGCCAATCACATGCTTAGATGATCACATTAAGACACTTTGAGCAGCGAGATCCTCTCACCAGGCTGCTGTTAAAATGTCCCCCGGTTTTCTTATTTTCTTCCTGTGTGTTTGGAGTGAAATGGGCCGCTACATAAAAATTGTGCTTCTTGCACACCTGGCATTTTCTGAACATCTGACCAACGTAAATTAACCAGATTCTCATTAGTGAGAATGTCTGCAATGTTTTCTCATTACTGTAATAGTTCAGTAATTTTCTATTAAAAAAAAATTACTGCAGTGCAATGATTTTTCAGTTCTGATCTGAATAAATGCACCTAATACTACCTCAGTGCATTTTATTTTATTTTGTATGTATATTATTTACTACTACTATTATTATTATTATTAGGGCTGCCCTCGACTAAAGATTTTTCTGGTTGACTAGTAGTCATCATTTTAAGCATTAGTCGACTAATCGCACGTTTATTAATTAGCCATTTAAATCATGAGCCTTTAATTGCCTACATAGCCTAATAAGCGCTAAGGCGCATGCATAAAGCTTGCCACAGCGCACCGACAGAAGTAATGATGAGTGTGTCAGGCAAAAACAGTAAGATTAAACTGCATTAACATTTTAATAATCTATTGATAAACTAGTGTTTTCGGTTTAAGAGATTAATTCGGCGACACTGACTTGTCATCTCCACAGCTTTATCACTCTTGACTCCCAGCTAAATCCATCCATTGAGTGCAATAATAATGAACTAATACAGTAATTATGAGAACTCATGGATCAGATCCTGTCATACAGACTCTTTATGCCGTTTACATCCATGTTCTGATGTTTATCGGCTGCTTTTAACCACTGCTCGTAAACTCCCAGCAGGGCCTATATTGCCAATCACATGCTTAGATGATCACATTAAGACACTTTGAGCAGCGAGATCCTCTCACCAGGCTGCTGTTAAAATGTCCCCCGGTTTTCTTATTTTCTTCCTGTGTGTTTGGAGTGAAATGGGCCGCTACATAAAAATTGTGCTTCTTGCACACCTGGCATTTTCTGAACATCTGACCAACGTAAATTAACCAGATTCTCATTAGTGAGAATGTCTGCAATGTTTTCTCATTACTGTAATAGTTCAGTAATTTTCTATTAAAAAAAAATTACTGCAGTGCAATGATTTTTCAGTTCTGATCTGAATAAATGCACCTAATACTACCTCAGTGCATTTTATTTTATTTTGTATGTATATTATTTACTACTACTATTATTATTATTATTAGGGCTGCCCTCGACTAAAGATTTTTCTGGTTGACTAGTAGTCATTCATTTTAAGCATTAGTCTACTAATCGCACGTTTATTAATTAACCATTTAAATCATGAGCCTTTAATTGCCTACATAGCTTAATAAGTGCTCAAGCGCATGCATAAAGCTTGCCACAGCGCACCGACAGAAGTAATGATGAGTGTGTCAGGCAGAAACAGTAAGATTAAACTGCATTAACATTTTAATAATCTATTGATAAACTAGTGTTTTCGGTTTAAGAGATTAATTCGGCGACACTGACTTGTCATCTCCACAGTAGTGGATGCGCGTCTGCATGCAAGTTTCATACAGATTACATGATTTGAGAATATTTGTTTTTTCAGATTTTAATTTTTTCATTTGAAAGTAGACATTTCACTCTCTCTCTATATATTTTTCATGTCTGTAAGGCAAGTATACACAGAGTTTCGCGCTCAAGTTCACAGAGGCCGAGACGGCAGAAAGCACATCCTGTTTGCTTTCATTCTTTTACACAAGCGCTATGTTTTGTTGTTAGTGAGTGAGTACAAATAAACGTAGAGGCTTTACAGATTCGAAAGATGTATTACTCTTATCCGTATGACCAAAATGACGGAGTATTTTAAGAGCAAGTGAGCGCACTGGCGCCTCCATCTGTCATGCTGTGAGCGTGCTACTGTTCAGACACTTGAATAGTGCACATTTTTCTAGGTTAACATTAGATTAAGCGGCCATGTAAAGTTGCTACTACATACATATTTCAGATGATAAGCCATTTGAGGTCGATGAATGATAGGCGAGCGTTTGGATGTACTGTATTACCATTACTGTTAACGATCTGTCCGTCACTGACTGCGTGACCTCACCACTTCCTGTGGATTGTTTTTTTCTGCGACGAAGGGACATAAAATTTTGGTCGACCAAGCTTCTTTTCGTCGACTAAAGGTTAGTCGACTATTAGGTGGCAGCCCTAATTATTGTTATACATTTATTTATTGTTATTATAAATGTGTTTATTAAATAAATTGTATTTATAATAATAATAATAATAAAATATATATTATTATACATTATATATTTTCTGTACTTTTTTTTGCTTGAATGAGATTACTTTTAATCTGAATAAATGCAAATAATACTAAGTGCATTTTATTTTATTTTAATGTATATTGTTTACTGTTATTATTATTATAAATACTATTTCTTTATTATAAAGTAATACAATGTATATTATGCATTTTATTTATTTATTTATTTTTGCTGTAATGCGGTTTTAGTCCAAAAAAGTCAAAAAAAAATTAAGCCCTCAAACTGCAGGATACTTCTGATCTTTTATGCATATTATTTACTCTTATCACTTATTATATTATTATTATTATTATTATTTCTCTAAGATAGATAGATATATAGATCTTTATTAGAAAAAATCTTTAATAGTCCAGAAAGTAAGTCCTCAAACAGCAGGATAATGGCTGTGAATTATATTAGCAGAAGAACATCTGACCAACATAAAGTAACCAGCTGCAGTCCGTTTGGTGTTTAAGCAGAATATACAGTTCTGATGATTTGATTTGATGCCACAACCCTGGAAAGCTTGAAAGCGATCATCGTTAAACTTGTGACTTTGAGAACCTGAGCAGCAGACCTTGTAGTTTCAGTCTGCGTGACCTAATGGTCATACTAAGTGCACTTTTAGTCACATTAGATGTAATATCTGCTAATTGAGTGTTTTCTTTAGATGTGCTAAAGTCGTCTTCTGTCCTTACTTACTCATCTGACTGCGTGTTCATGTGTTTCTCCTAGGTTAATGGGAAAGGCTCTCTGTGGTGTGTGGACCCTGAATACAGACCCAATCTGATCCAAGCCCTGAAGAAACAGCACTTTCCCACAGCCCACTCCTTCTGTACGCCCCCTGCTTCCCCACCCAGGTAACACGCGCACATTTGCTATAGTACAAACTAATAGAGATGCATTAGCTAATGTTTGATGCATGCAAACCGGCCCTGTTCCTAGGGCTGTCGCGGTGAGGGAATTTCCCTTGCGGTAATTGAGTGGCTCAATAGCGCGGTATGCGGTATTACCGCCATAAATACATCGCGGTTGCTGCGGTTCTTGCATTCCTCTGCGGTTTGCTCGTCAATAGCGCGGTATTGCGATATTGCGGTTATCGCGACAGCCCTACCTGTTCCACACATTTCCTCTGAAAAGGCTGTTGTCGTTTGGCTCTCAAGTCATCCTAAGTGACTTGATTCATGGTCCTGCTTTATGTTTTACTGTCTGTCTCTCTGTGTGTCTGTCTAACAGTGCCTTCTCACCCGCACGTCACCTCTTCCTCCAGGGCTGTGCTCTAAAAGGTGAGCCATCTCTGTTTTTCTCAGTTGAATATGTCTCTGTCAAAACAAGTGGCAATTTGAAATCTTGTTAGTTAAAGAACAAATAAAAGCATGCATGTTACAGTGTGCTTGAAAGAGATTAATGCTGTGTCCCAATGTGCCTACTTATACTACGCCCTTAAAGTATGTACTCTTTTGGTGAAGAAAAAGTACACACTTTTGAGTGTGTAGTAGAAGAGTTGGCAAGTTTTGGGTCATACAATTGCGTCTTTAATGGACCGCTCTGTCGCATAGTCTTACACACACCCTGTCACTGTAAACTGGCCTGTCAATCATCTTGTCACAGTTAACATCCTCTACAATGAAATATAATAATATAATAATATTTTTACCAGGTTAAATGTTGATTATTAGTAACTCAAACCCCTTATCTAATCCTCTCAACTTAACAGTCGGCCACGCACATCCGCCATGTTTGTAGTTTTAATGCTTTTTATTCGTGTGTGTAGTCCTGAACCGAATCCTTCGCCAAAGCGCAATGGATTGTGGGCAATATTAGCCATTAGAGTGTGCATGGATCCACACTTCAGAAATCGACCTGAAATAGTAGACCCTCCGGGGACATGGGGCATACTCTTTTCAGCATACTATGCTTTGGGACACACTTATTTTAATCTCACATACTATTTAGGATGGATAGTATGAACACTGAGACGCAGGGTAAGTCTGGTTAAATGACTCTGTCAGTGGAGCCATTGAGGACACTTCCTGTGAGTTTAGGAAACCGGTTTTACGCATCACACCCACATGATTTTTAGTGATTTCTCATGGTCACAGCTCTTCACTGTTCAACATTTTCATGTTCCCAGGGTGACAGGATTTTATTATGTATTTGTGTTGTTTTTTATTTTATTTTATTTAGTTTTCTTTTTTCTTTTTATGTATTGTATTCATATTGATTTTTTAATTGATTTTTATATTTATTTTTAATTTATTTTATTTCATTTGTATTTATTAGAAGTTAGAACCGATCACTCAGCTTTCAAAATAATGGAAATTCATTGATCACACAGTATGAGAACCCTGTGATTTTGTTTGTTGTCTTCATGTAGTCAGGACTTTTATCAAGCATTTTCTTTCTCTTTCTCCGTCACCTTGAGTATGGCAGCAGTTGTGTTCACTCTCTCTGTCTGGTTGGTAGTGAATAATTCAAACGTTCTGAAGGGTTGCGTGGAAACAGAGAAACCCCCATAGACACACACACTGACAGTGAGCAGTGCTCTGACCGCTGTGTGTCTTTATGTCTTTTACAGAGTCTGACATTGATGCCGCCACTGCTATGATGCTCTTAAACTCGGCCCCCGGACACCACAGTGACCCATGTAAGAGAAGACCCTAACGTTCATTCTAACGTTCTGTCTGTCTAACGTTCTTTTGTTAAGCTCATGTGCCCCTCTAATGTTGATCCTGGAAAGTCTGAAATCTGTATCTGTGAGACTGATGTTGCACTCTGTGTCGCTTAGTTCAAGTTCGTGCAGAAAGGCACGTTTGCGTCTTATTTCTGGAGATGGATTTGCAAATATGTCTGCATAACAACTAAAAGCTCTTGCTGGTAATTAGTGCAGCATTGCACTTCCTTCACACGTCTTTATCCTCGTTAAGTGTGTCACTGTAGTGTTCTCTACCTCTAATGAACCTTAATCACCCGTAGTAGAATAAACCATCATAAGAGTGCTTCATTAAGACGGGCGGATGAAAGTACTTGATGATGCTTTTCATAACGGCAGTTTAAAGATTGACACTTCAGAGGTGGAAAATTTACATGAAAAGATTTTATAACTGGTTGAACCTCATGAAACCTGTCAAGAAAATGTACCCAAAACCTTTAGAGCCATAGAATAGAAATACACTACAGGCAAAAACATTGCTTTTCATGCACTGGTCAATTTTGAGATTTTAGACCAGCTGACTTTTCATAATGTGTTGTTTCACCAAACATTACAGTTTTATTCCTTCCTTATCTATAGTATTAAGATTTTTTTTAGAGAGAGGATTCTTCATATAACATTTGCCTGAATTTATACGTTTTATTCCTAAAAATGTGAAAATTCATTTTTTTCTGCCTCTTTATGGGGTGATTAAAAAGAGATATCCTAAAAAAAGTCAAGACACCCGGGTAAATAGAGTAAAGAAATAATATAATTAGATATCACCATAGCTCATTTTTCACTTTTAAATACTTTATTTAAATTGATTTTTAACTTATAAAAAATACTAAACTATAAATATTACTATAATCCTGCTATATTATATTTTTCATATTTCTCACACACATTTATATATATATGTGTATATATTTATAAGTGTGTGTGTGTGTGTGTGTGTGTGTGTGTGTGTGAAATATTAGATATATAATGTTAATAATTATATTGATATATGTTGGTTGTTTGATTAATTACAAAAAAATTAATGCAAAAAAAATCTAATTTAATTACAAAAAATCTATGCACATTTTTTTGAAGTCCCAGTTTTCTGAAATGTTGCTTAAATATGCAAATGATGCATAATCTAATTAAATATGCACTAATTTTTTTTTATACATTTCCAGTACAGGAAAATGAGCATTGGTTCAAAAATCTTGTTTCATTTTGATGGTTTTTAAAGGGGATTTTGGTTTTCTCTTTTTATTACTCAATAAATCAGAAAATACTGTTAACAACCAGCAAAAAATTAATTTTCTCCATGTTTTTAAGAATAAAATGTTGTATAAAAATCAGGCAAATGAGATATACAGGTACATCTCAAAAAATTAGAATATCATGAAAAAGGTCAATATTTTTTGTCACTCATTTCAGAAAGTGAAACCCATATATTATATAGATTCATTACACATAGAGTGAAATATTTCAAGCCTTTATTTCTTGAAATTTTGATGATTATGACTTACAGATAATGAAAACCCAAAATTCAGTGTCTCAGAAAATTAGAATATTACATAAGATCAATAAGTGTATGTAAGTGCTACTGTGGAGAACGAACTCATTTTGAGAAAACAGCCTTGAAAGATATGTATTGTAAATGAAATCTACAGACACAAATGGATAAAGTGCAATTATATAAACACTTAAAGTGTATTCTGTATGTTTTCTTTCCAAACCTCTCGTCATCCACTTTATGTACGAGAATTACATCAAGAATTCCCTGCCTTTTTTTTTTCTTTTTCAAGTACAGAACAAAGAAATGCAATAATTCTCATCAGGCGGCTGGCGTTACGTTTGTTCTCTTCATCAGAGGCGCTGGATATGTGTTGAGCAGATGGTGTGCAGAAAGAATCTACGGATTACTTTGTCATTTTTTTTAAGGATCCATCAGTGGTGTTTGGTGATGTTTATGGGGTAAATCTCATGAAAATAGGGCACACTTCACTCCAGAATCAAAAGAAAAAATATATATCATTTACATTAAAATTAAAACAAAGTTTTTGGGAAAATTTAGTTGTTTTTTTTTTTGCATTGGGACATTTTCTTCAGAATTCCCATTTTTCTAAATAATTATCATTACTGTAATAAGGTATTTTTTAGTTGCAATTGCTTTTTTTTGTTTTTTTGGTAGCACATCAGATTTCACCATGCTGTAATGCTTATTAATACTGTAGAACAATTAAAAAATATCCAGTATGTTTTTACAAATTGGAGGTGGAATGTACAAAAACTGCAAATAAAACTTGTGAATTACAATGACCTTTTTACATTTTAAAAATCAGCAAAAATTGGCATAAAACCAACACAATATTTGCTACCATAATGTATTTTAACTTTTGCAAAAATGCAAATAAATAATAATAATAATAACAGTACTAAAATAGGCTTTGTTTTTTTCCAGTTTGTCACTTGCTTACCGTCAATTGTCATTATTGTAATTTTTTTTAATTGCAATTGCATTTTTTTTGGTAGCACATCAATTGTTACCATTCTGAATAAATGCTTTTCATAAATACATTTAAATTTTTAAGTCTGCAAATTTTTTTTATAAAAACCAATACAATAATTTCTACCTTAATGTTATTTTTTCCTATAAATGCTTAGTTGTCATGAAAATGTTACAATGCAAAAAAAATAAAATAAAGTAATAATAATAATAAATATAACAGTACTAAAATAAAAAAATTTTAAATGAAGAATATTATTTCTTATTTGTTTTTCTTGTTTTGGAGTGAAATATGACCTGAACATGTTCTTGACAGATTTCATGAGATTTACACTATGACCCTTGAAAAAATGAAATGCACGACTAGGTGACTGCATGACTGGAATCAAAGCCTAATCTTGAATATCAACACCGGATCAAGATCCACAACCATCAGCGGAAGGATTCATAAACACAAACCGGCCCCACATGGACTCTGGAACCAGTCTGAATGAACAGCAGAGGACTGGAACACATTTCCCCATCATCCTGGTTGGCTTCTCTCTCTTTGGTGTCTGTGATCTGTTCGGATGTGCTACATGAAACAGCTTGCTGTTTGATTCCCTCTGTTCAGAGCCTATGCAAAAAACGAAAGCTGTGTAGCTCTATATTTCCTCTTGGTGTGTGTGTGTGTGTTTCTGTGCACATTTGTTGCGTGTTTTAACGCAGTCAGCAGACTTTGGGAGATCAACACTGGATTTAAACCATTTAAACCTTGAGGAACTCAAGACTGTGGGTGTAGATGTAGAGATACATGTTCATATGAGGGTGAATTGCATGAAACCGCTAAAGGAAAAGGTCATATTTCATCTCAAAATAAAAAGAAAAACAAGATATTATATTTTGCATAAAGAAAATGAAGACTGATATTTTCTTTTTCTATGATGACATTGTTTTCTTGACAATTTAAGCACATTTTTCCCCTCCAAAAAGACTGATGCCAGTACTGCCAGAATTCTGGGGAAAATGGCACTTAATAAAATGCCTTTTAAATTAAATTTAAAATCTCGGTTACACTTTATTTTGTGTCCTTGTTACAGTGTAATTATACATATAAGTACTGAGTAATATTAATTAACTACATGTACTTAATATATGGCTAGGATTAGGGTTTGGCTTAGGGTTACTTGCAAGTAATTATGCATAATTAATTGTTATTATAATAGTAAGTACGTGTAACGTGTAACAAGGACACCTTAAAATAAAGTGTTACCAAAATCTCATTTATTTTCATTAATCTAATGTGAAAACAAAGATTTAAATGTTATGTAAATTGCAAAATGTTTATGCATCATGGTAGTATTTGTTGTACCTTCTCTAATTTATGATGATTTTAATAAAAAAAAATTAGTATTACAGTATTTGTAACCATAATACAGTCAAAAAAAAGTTGATATACAAACTCATAGCTCATACATCAAAATTCAGTATAGTTATGGGATGTGCTTTATTTTCTGTTTATGCAATAGGATGTGTGTATATATATATATATATATATATATATATATATACATGTACTATTTTGGGGTGAAATATGATCCACGCATGATTTCATGAGAAACCGCATACTGCCACATTTACAAAAAAACATGATAGCACAGGTAAATGAAACCAGATGTTTTAAATATGAATATTTATTTATGCTGTATGTTAGTAGAGGATGTATACTGTGCAAATGCTCAGTGCTGTGGAGCAGAATGAAGTATACGGCAGTCAGAATCAGAGTATGGTCAGCTTTCTTGTTGTTTTTGCTCATTTGACCCTCCGTCTGTACTCTGAAGCAGGAGCTCGTCGCTCTTAAACAGCAGAAGCACAGCGGCTCATTAGAAATGCAGGACCTGTGCCAAAACACGAGAATCACTGCCTCAAACACACCCGTTCATTAAGACGCCGCATTTGAGAATGAGGAATAAAAGGGTCGCTGTTAATGAGCGGCTCAATTCTACATTTCATTTGGACCCCACATTTTCTGCAGAAAACAACAGCAGTGTCTACAAAACCTGTGCTTGTTCCTCTTGTGCCAAAATACCCAAGAATGATTTAATCACTGCCAAGACTGCTTTACTAATCCTGTCTTTATTTCCTTTTTTGTGCATCAGGCTAAGTATTGACTATTAACTAATAAAACTGCCAAGTCCCTGTGAGGGTGAATCTCACCAAACCTGTCAAGAAAAGTAGACTTCATTTCACCTCAAATACAAAATTAAGAAATAAGGAATCATATCTTACTTCAAGAACATTAGGATTTTATTTTTTTTATTTTTTTTATTTTTTTTTGCATGTACATTTCACCCCGAATTATGATAATTGTAAATTTTATGTAAATCCTACATTTTATATATATATATATATATATATATATATATATATATATATACAGGGGCGGA